AAGGAAGTAAAGAAAAAAAAAAGGGAAGACAAAGCGGATAAAGAAGAGATTCTCATTTTGCATGCGCCTCATCATCTTGTTAACATTTGCCTTGAGATGTATATGATTTCCTTTGATTCCCTGTATGATTTACTGTCTGCTGCCAAATAAAGCACAGAAATTAGATCCCTCACTCAGAAGCTGACAAATGCCGGTGTGAGGACGTAGATCACGCTGCTTCAGGATTATTTGTTCTTGACATCCTGCTGACTGTAAAGGGTAACGCTCATTTTTTGTGGATATTTGTGAAAACAGTAAATCTCTAGTGAGTCTCGAAACATTATCCGGGTAGATTCGACGCCTAAGACGCCTGTTCCCGTATTTGACATTTAGCCTATTTCTTTTCAGCGCCACTTTCAAACTTTTTCAGTCCAAAAAGTCATTTAGGATAGTCATGTGACTGGAAATGTAATTGTTTTTGTAATAAAGGTTAAAAATGATCCACTGACTGCTTTGATTTGAGTATATGTGGGATGATGGAGGCACATGGATGTAAAAACGAGCTTGATTTGCATGTAAGCTATGGCAGAAGGAGAGAAAAGGGGGAAAAAGTGAGGAGGAGAAACTGGAGCCACACAGGGACCAGTAAACAGGCTGGCGTTGAATTCCAACATTGTGGGAAACAGCAAACACTTCAGTCAGTCCAAGAGAAAACCTCAGTCGCTGGGGGGCTTTGCTCGTTGTGGCAGCAGGCCTGTGTTCTTCGGGTCTGATGGGAGGAAGGTGGGCAGGTTGACACCACAGAGCTACAGGAAGCCCAGACAGAGCAGAAACACAAACAAACACAGCCCAGCTCCGATTTGGAGCTGCTGGGTGAAAAATCTGGACAACATCATGGATCCTCGCTGACAAGAATTTCAAGCTTCTGAGCTGCTGGCGGCTGGAACGTGCGTCTTATCTGCAACGTTTCTGTGTGCACATCTATGAATGTGTTTTTGTTTCAAATATATATATAAAAAAAGAAGGACAAAAATGATTTGTGCAAAGCATACGTGTTGGTCCATCAACTTAAATAAGGAAATCATTGCAGATGGTTGACTGACACGAGATGCAATGAATCAAGCTAAATGTGAGACAAGCGTAACATTATGTTTGCAGCAACAGGTAAGAAAGGAGGCCTTCTGCCAGCTGACGCCCTCCTCCTCCTCTCTCATGTCTTCCTCCTGCGACAGTAAATGACAGCTGCATACGCTGACTAAAACAAAACTAACAGCGCAGCATATTTTCTGTCACACGAGGAGGTTTTTCATAACACCTGGGTCACTCTGCATCAGCGCAAAACAAATAAAGAAGAACACTTATTCAGTGTGAGCTAGTGATCGAATCAGATGCATTATCATATGGATCTGGAGTGGGTTTAACTGGGTTTCAGCTCATTTTAGAAGCACAAACATGCAAACCTTAACATTTCAAATGGGTTGATGGGGATGGACAAAATGAACGTGCAAAAGAGTCAAAGAAAACTGGTTCAAGCTGCAAAGATGTGGTTTTAGGAGGAAAAATACTTTTTAAGGCGTAGTTCACTGATTTAATCACTACATTTCAGTGGTCTCTAGTGGGAATGAATGCCTTGTAAGTCGTACTCTGGGTACAAAAAGCCCTGGTGCACCCATTTCAGGGTCTAGAAGATGACCAGATCAGAGGAGAGCTTCAGGATTTAGAGTCTTACTTCCTGATGTTTGGACATCTCACCTCTGATTGGCAAACAGCAATGCAACTTTACCACTAACTCCATTTGCTTTGCAACACTGATCTTCACAAATAACACAAGCCTGAAGGAGCTCTGCTGTGTGGTGGAGTTGCTAATGCTAATGGTTAGCGTCTGTTAGCCGAAACATTCTCTGCTGTTTTCTGGACGCTAAACTAACAACAATCTTCCCCATCACGAGTCAAGATGGGTGAGTCCATGAATGTCAAGTGACAGTGTGATGTCACACTGTCAGACTTTTTAAATCCAAGTGTTTCACCATCTATTTTCTATCAGAAGATAATGCAGGAGACATTTGTAGGAGACAATTTCATGTTGCCTGGATGAAAAACTCAGATTGACCAATTATAATCAGAAATAATCATTAAAAATGTTTATTTTTCAGGAAACCACACTTTAAAGTGTGATTTAAATGAGTTATTTTAGACTTAAACAGCCAAACTATGTTTGTAGCTCAGGCGGATTTTGCAACTGTTTCAAATGAGAGTTTATAGCTATGGCGACTTTTTTGTGTTTGACATAAACATGCAACAAAATGGTCAAGAAAGAACAAGAGATGCATCCCAAAAATGTTTTTATGCTGAAAATGGCATTAGGGTGAACTGAGTCCAAAGAAACAACAAGGTGGAATTGTAAAAGCAGAAGTTAACAACATTTTTGAAGAAAACGTGAATTTTCTGGGTGTACAGACAGAAAGTGTGTTTTCTCTTTGCAAGCACAAACAATTTTTTAGAGGTCACACACACACACACA